CGGGGGGAGGGCGGCGCGGCCGCCGCACAGCTCCCGGGCCGAGCCCCCGAGGGAGCCCCCGCTCTCCGCTCTCCCCGCCTTCCGTGTCAGCACGGCCACACTGCTCTCCAGAAGTGCTCCGAAGAGAGCCCCAACCCCGGGGACCCCGGCCCAGGCTTCTCCTGCGCCCCGGCCTCCCTCACAGGGCAGGAGGGGTCGGCCCGGAGCAGAGGGGAGCTGGCGGTCCCCACGGTGGGAGCCGTCCGAGCCCCGCAGAGAGGCTGTGGGTGGGGGCCCTGGACACACTCCTGTCAGGCGCTCTCTAACCCGGACCCAGACGGACATCTCTGTGCTTTCAATGTCCCCACAGACCCCTCCTGTGCTCCCAAGCACACACTGCCCCTTCCGTGGGACACAGGGGCTCATTCCCCTGACTGACCAGACCTGCTCCTACCATTGGCTCAGACACACTCCCTGCCCTGGAGCCAAGCACTCAACCAGGTGGGAAAGGGCACCAGACAGTGATGGCAGCAACTGTCACCCAGCAGCGCCAGAAGGCCCTTGTCCCCCCTCTCCCCCCTCACAGAGCCCGGCACTCCTGCCCCAGTCACACTTCTCACCACCCTGCCACACCAGCTAGTCTACTAGTGACACTTCACATTCCTCCCCGCAGTCCCACCTGCTTGTTCACACCCAGGCTCCAGCCGGATCCCTCAGAGCCCCTCCCAGGCCCTTTGGATAACAACACCCTTTGAAATTCACCCACACGCTTACCCCCACTATTTCCTAACTTCTCCCCTTGCCTGGCTTTCAGCTGGCGGCCCAGCTCCCCTGGCCTCAGCTCTGTCTGAGCACACCCAGGGTCCTTTTGCAGCATAATCCAGAACCTTCTCACTCCATCGAAAGTCCAGCTCTCGTGTCCACATTGACTTCACTAGGCAAGGCAGCTGGCCTGCCTGGCTGCTGCTTTCCCAGGCCTCAGTTTCTTGTCATTAGATGGAAGAGAAGGGCAGGGAGGGGGCTGTTGACAAGGACAGAGGCCAGCGGAGACAGAGCCCCAGGTGGTTCTGATGAGGAACTTTAGCATGCATAGTCAGTGCCCTCACTAAAGCCCCAACACCTGATGGGTTGGGGGGCAAAGTGAGGTCTCCTAACTTCTGGGGGCCCATGTGTACCCACTCACTAAGTCACCTCCCAGTGGCCTAGGGGACAGGAGCCAAGGAGAGGACAGGAGGGGAGGCCAGGCAGCCCAGAGGACAAGGAAAGTCTGGGTGTTTCTGAGGGCCTTTCCCTGGGAAGGCAGGTTGTGAAGCTCCCCCAAGGGCCCTTTTTCACAGTCTCAGTGCCTGGATCTCAAACCACAGTGGACACACCGCCCCCTAAACTCCTTCATTCCAACTCCCCTCAATAGGCCCCTCCAAAGTCACCAGAATGTTGTCCTGGTCTGGCCTGAGGGCAGAGCTTTTCCTTCTGGTTCCCACATTTAGCTTAACACTCTGGAACTTTGCGATGCCTCCCTGGCTCCTATGCTTTCAGCTGATAGCTCTTAGCCACTAATTCCAGGAGCAGAGTCTCCCAGCTGACTTGTCCTACCCACCCCAACCATCCTGGCACATTGGTACTGCTGAGCCCCACACCCTCACTGAATGAGGTCAGCCTGGGGGATACAGGCTAGGGACTGAGGGGCAGGTGGCCGAAGACACGCATACACAGGTGTGCCTGCTTGTGCAGCCGTGTCCGGGTGGCCATGCACTTGCATGGGCTGAGTCCACGTGCCTGCGCGCGCACGCCTGTGAGTGTTTATGAGGGGGGCCTTGGTTCCCAGGGCCCAGGGATCTGGATGGAATTAGGGGCTGGCCCAGGAGGGGGCCAGGATTGGGGGTGAGGGGGCTGCAGCAGGAAACGTGAGCTGCACTCATTAGCTCCTCACGTGCTCAGCCGGATTTATAAACACTGGGGAAGACGGGATGTAAACAATCAGTGGGCAGCAGCCAGAGGCAGAGCTGGGGCGGGAGCTGGGCGGGGGGCCAGGACTGGGAGAGGGGGCCCAGGACACAGTCCTTAGTGGCCAGGTCCACCTGCACACCACGAACTTGGAGAGGAAGATCAATAAGGGCTCCAGGATGCCCACTTCGCTCTCCCTCCCAGGGACACAGGCAAACTGCAACTACTTACAACTAACCCACAGGTGTGCTCTGCCCACACACTTTCAGTTTTGGTGCCTGAGATATGGGAACATTTTGCCCAGAATGGAGCTGTCATGACAGAGAGTAAAGACCTGTCCTGTCCCCTTTCTCCTCTCCTAGCCTCTTTTCCCTCTGGATTTCTGAGATTACTTCCCTCTTTCTGGTTCTCTCCATGGGTCAGTCAGTTGGATCCTTCTGCTCTTTCCCCTGCCCCCCCCCCC